GGGGGGGAGAGAGAGAAAGAGAGAGAGAGAGAGAGAAAGAGAGAGAGAGGGAGAGAGAGAGAGAGAGTGGGAGGGAGGGACAGAGAGAGAGAGAGAGAGAGAGGGGGCGGCAGAAAGGTGTAGGAGATAACACATTAACAGAGGATAACTGACAAGACGAGAGAGCGACAACTAAAACCGGTTTTTATGAAGGGGGAAGGGGCGGACAGAATAAATTATTTTTCCCAAAAAGTTCCCACGAAACGCGAAAACAGGAACTAGACTCTAATGACCAAACGCGTGCGTGGAAAACAGCCTGGGCTTCAAAGAGCGTCACCCCCACCATCACTAGAGGCGGTGTTTGCGCGGGGCCATGTAGCAAACAGCGAGCTTCAATCAACGCAGAGGCCAAACAAAGACCTTGCGAGAACACACTCACACCCAAAGGTGAACGCACGTGCTCCATCCTTACAGCAGAACGCCACCACAAATTGGCGCTCCCGGGGAGCCGTCCTGAAACCGGAAAAACGGAGCAGATTTTCTGAATGTACTTCGGTTCGGACGTGTTGTTAGAGTCCATGTTTAGATTTTTTTTTGTCCTGGTTGTAAGCTTAACCCTTATTTCTTCTGTTTCATTCAATTCTGTGGTGTAGAGGTTAGGCGCTTCGCCGTCGCACGCATGAGGCCCGAGTTCGATTCCCGAATGGGGAGAAATTTTCATCGAGTATCTCGGTCTTTCTGTTGAGATGTATCCTTTTCAGCCAGGGTTGACCAAGACAGGTAGGGTCGGAAGCCTTCCTTTCAAATGTTCTAAAATGGGTCGATGGGGGTGTAAAAACACCTACATTAAAAAAAAAAGATTTATTCTTTTTTTCGCTTTAGAATCTTTTCTCCTCGGCAGCTGAATTAATTGATCAACGTCAGACACTGGCGGACGAACTTTGTAAGTTCGAATTTCAGGGTATATGCTCTGGTGGCTTAGAGGTTAATGTGTTCGCCTCTCATTCAAAGGTCCCGGGTCCGAATCCGGGTAGCGACGGAAAACAAACTTCTTCTCTAAACACACGTCAGTACCTGCGTCAGTACCTGCAATATACCCACGGCAGACCAATATGACCAACTTTATTGTCCACTCTTGGGTAATACCACCCAGTTTGGCAAGCACTGGTATATTCTGTCCTGGATGCGACAAGAGTTGCTTTCCCGTACAACACAATAATATGATCAGAACATTTTCGGCTTTATTTTTACTGCCGTGGGATTTATTTTACTATCTGTACTGTTCACATCGAGAAGGTATCTCATGTTTCGCTGCTGTGGTTGACTTCCGGT